AATACCACAGGGTGATTTGTTTATTTATTCAACCTGATTATTATATTTCATGAATTTACTCCAGAGTTTCAGAAAAGCATGAAAACATCAGTAGAGAACAAAGATTATTTTTCTATAAGTTCACATCTCAGTCGTATCAGTGAAGCTGCTGATTGGAGCAGAGCTGCAGCCTCGAGGTCGTCGGTGCACCGTGTTCATACGCATGAGAAATTAATTTCTCCTTCCTGTGGCCTGGAACCAGCCTCAGGCACTTTCTCCCTAAAGGTTAATTAATGCAGTTTGGGTAATGTGCAGTTTTTGTTGCATCAGTGGAAACGTGATGTGGCCGCTCGTCCAGTGACGACCTTATGAAGTCTTTAAAAAGTTTTTCTAAGAAGTTGGGTTTTTGCAGCTGCACACATCTGTGACTGACTCTGGATGTGTTTTTTCAGTGTGTGACCCCGTCCTCGGAGATCATGGATCTATGGTGAGGGTTCTCTCAGAACTGTGTGTGCAGTTGTGTGTGTTTGTTTTTGTTATTAGAGGTTTTTGTGTCTGTAATGTGTGTGGGAGGGGTTTAGTGTTCATCCCTGTGTGTGATATCTGTATATATATATATGTGTGTGAGTGTGTGTGTTTTGTGGGGGTGTGTTACAAGGCACTTCTCAGTGACTCACAGTTTGTGTGTGTGTGTTGTGTGTGTGTGTGTGTGTATTACATTTCCGGGGATTATATTATATACTGGCTCATATTCTGTCGGTTAGCTCTCATAATTTAAAACCGTGAAAACAAAGATCAGAAGCTCTCAATTAACTGAGCGCGTGTTTCTTCCTCGCGGCTCCATTCCCGTCACGTGACTCTAACACGCGTGTCTCCATCCACAGTATGTTCCCCAGAATCTTTATCCGGTCTATAAGAACAAGGTGGTTCCTGTTGCCGACATTATTACTCCCAACCAGTTTGAGGCAGAGTGAGTACCAGTCTTTTATTTACTGTTTCATATTCGCAGCTTTTAAATCTAATGGCATGTCTTTAAACTGCCTCCACCTCATTGAGTGTGTAACTGTGTGAGCAGCAGAGTATTAGCACAAACCGTCTTTATGTAATGCCTCTCATGTTGTTATCTAATGCCTCCATTTTGTGGCTCCGGAAACTTGGGAAAGATTGAACAGAAAATGCAGCATAGCTTCTCTCTAATCCATCTCATCCCCTCACTTTAACCTTATTTACTTGTTTTAATCTCTTAATTACTTCATTTAAATCCAGACTTTATGAGCTGATCTCACAGAGAAGCTGCCTGATGCCTTATTTAAAGGAAAAAGTCCAAACCAAACACTTTGTGTTCTGTGGCTGCACAGTTGCATCCAATGGAAATGTAGCATAAACACAAATACACATTTCTCCAAAACTAAGAAAGTTGTTTACTTGTGTATAAAATCAGTCCCAGTTGCATCAATCTCAGTTTATCAGTCTCTGTATCTCGGTTCACTGTCAAGTAGCTCCACCTAGTGGTGGTTCACTTTACTCTCTGAATCAGAATATAGAATATATAATAAATATTGTGTATGAATATTTTCAGTCTGGTCTTGAATTAGACTTTCTCGGACTCTTAAATGTGGATTTATGTCTTGTTCATTTTCAGTGTTTCTGTTTTCAGACCATGTCTTTGCTTGTGTTGTTGTTGTAGATTACTGACGGGGAAAAACATCAGCACAGAGAAAGATGCTGTCGAGGTAAGAAAAACATTTCATCTAATTCTTCTTGTCTCAGCTGCGTCTTTTCTGTGTCGACAGAATAAGCTGTTGTAGTATTGTGTGTTTTTTTTCCCCCTGATGACAACATACATACTCACAGTATCTCCCTCCCTGACCGTGTGTAGGTCATGGACCTTCTTCATGCTATGGGCCCAGACACGGTGGTCATCACCTCGTCTGATCTGCCCTCCAGATTGGGAGACCGCTTCCTGGTGTCGCTGGGCAGCCAGCGTCATGGTAGGTGACGTGTTGAAGAACGTGATGTGTGTGTCTGTACTGCATGTTTGTGTTTTTGAGACGTCCGATTCCGTGTAGTTTATAAATCAACCGTCGTCTCCGCTCTGCTGCTCAGTTCGTCCAGACGGCAGCAGGACAACACAGAGAGTTCGGATAGAAGTTCCCAAAGTGGACGCCGTCTTCGTAGGAACCGGAGATTTGTTTGCGGCAATGCTGCTAGCGTGGACGCACCACTACCCCAATGACCTAAAGGTACGAACGCATACATGAACACACAAAGACCCAAAGACGCCTGAAGACGTCATTCGAAGAATTGTCTGTCTCCTCTCTGTCTCAGACGGCCTGTGAGAAGACGTTTTCGGTGATGCACCACGTTATCCAGAGGACCATATCTTATGCTCACGGTAAGAAGCGAAGCTTTGACTCATCAAACATCAGACCAATGAATTCTGTTTTCATCCACAGGAAAGCTAGAATCAAAATGTTGGTAATGTTAATGGTTCATTCTTTTTTTCAAATGCAATATTGTCAATATCTGGATATGGTGATGTTATTTTTTACATTTACAAATCACAGAATATAACTTTAAATAAGGATTATCTTTATTCATCTGTGCCCCCCCCCTCCACCCGCCCCTCTCTCCCTCAGAGTTAGCCGGTCCTGGTCGGAGGCCCAGTCCGCCCCAGCTGGAGCTGAGGATGGTTCAGAGTAAAGCGGACATAGAAGACCCTGCTATAGTCACGAAGGCCACGGTCATATCCTAACATTACCCGCCCATGAGACTCATACTAACCTTGTGCTCTTCACCCATGAATCTCTCAAATCCTGTATCTCGGTAAATCTCTCATCACTGTAAAACTTGTCATATCCCAACTTCAACACGTCATCATCCAGACTCCTGAAACCCCTTAGTATTGTGACCCCTTTAGTCCTCTCACCTTAAAACCTTTACCCCTTGAACTCCTCAGTGTCCGAACCCCTTAAACTCCGTAGCTCCGACGACCCGTAACTCTGTTATTGGAACCAGAGCCATGGATAAACAGAAGCTTCGGTCAGGTCGGGCCGTGGTGGCGTCTTCTTGAACAGGGTGTGTGAGTGGAATGCACAGCTGCTACTTTATGGAAAACTTTAGGCTTTAAGTGTCGTCTCCTCCTCCAGGGTATCACTTCATTCTATACACAGGTTCAATAGCAACGGTTTATAAAAAGAGAAAATTAGTGATAGGAAAACCCTGAACGGCCCAGAATAGACAGAGATGAAGGCAGAGGAGGTTTGTTGAGCAGATGTTTACTCTTGAAGTTCTGCTCGGACTAATTGTAGTAATGACTTCATGGAGTTGTCTAAATACTTAGAGGATGAAAACATCAGTGCTTATTGTGATAATACTTGAAACAGGGTTTTAAAATTCAGTAATCTGAATTTTAAGTCTTTTGAAAGATGTTAAAATATCACAAACCAGGTTTTCTATGTGTTCAGCTCTGTATCAGTGTTGTGATGTGTGTGTGTGTGTTACGATACAGATGTTAGCAAACTAAAAAACTAAAATCACCTGGTAAAGACTGGATACCTCCTCTCTGTCTGTAGTTTGACAGATGTTCTCTACGCGCCTGCTTCTCCTTTTCTTTGATTCTGGTGCAGTGTAGTCGATTCTTGGACTCGGACATTCCTTCTTATCTGTTGTACTTGAAATAGAAAAATCTTAAATTTCGTCTGTTACGGTCTTGAAGTCTGAAATTGATCCAGAATGGAAAGTGAGTTGATTGATGAATATTCCAGTCGGTAAAAACACTACCTCTAAATGACTGTAACTCTAACGCTGCTCCGTTACTGCCTCTCCACTCACATACTCCATGTGTTACTGACGGTGTTGCCCTCCAGCGACGCTCCTCCGCACCGGTCGCTGAGTTTGGTTTTACTGTAACGTGGCAACGACCAGACTCTGTTCATCTATGGCTCCGCCCACCGCTGTTCCCGCCCCCCTCCCCGTCTTACAGCAGTGATGTAATGTGACCAAGTCTAACCCCCGACCCCTTGACAATAATAACAAAGGAAAAAAAAACGCACAATGTATAGTTGATGTATAGATGTTGTACCATAACTGTATTGGACCATCTGTATGATATCTTCTATCTGATCTGTCTCTTGGACCATAGTGATGATGCTACTGTACTATAGACACACGCACTACAATATCACCCAAACCAGGGACGACGGGGGGGGGTTCTGGCACCAGAGCGGCTCCGGTGGCTCCAGATGTTCTCACTTGTTAGTATTAGGTAACTGTCTGATTATCATGGTGAATAGTTCAACCTCTCTCATCTCAACCTGGAGCTGTCGGAGCCGCCGCCCCCCTGGCTGATTTTTTTACTCGCAGTGCAATCGTCCGCCTCGGTGCCAGAACCAACCCACATCACGCCGGGCGGTTCCCGGCTCAGCTCTGGCCCAGAACCCTATATCTGAGAGTTGTGCCACTGAAATGACTGGAGGCCTCGAGGCGATGTAGAAGGAGGAAGTCTCCTCGTCCAGTAGCAGCTCCGCTAACGTTTGTCGTGGGACATTTTATTTATTTTTTGCTTCACTTCACACTCCACTGAGAACAGAATGGATGATGGTTCCTATTTTAATTAAATATATAAGATTCCAGAGTCTTAACACTTGACGAGTGTTTGAAATGACTGGTAGGAAAAGAAGACTGAAGGAAATCTGTGATCTAACGTCTTTTATCTTCTTCAGCTGATGATTCTTCACTCTTTAGTTGAATCGAAGCACGGTTGTGATATAAACGATATATTTTAAATTTTAAATTAAAGCATCATTAAGGTGACTCCATGTTTTTCCCAACAAAGAAAACAAAACAGTAAAAAGCAGCAGATTGAACCGACAAAGACAAAAACGATGTAAACAATGAAAAAATGTTAGAAAACAATTGTTAAAGCAAACGTTTGTGATGGAACGTTCCCAGTAACATCGGGAAAAGTTTTAAAACTGTCATTAAAGTTTTGATTTCAGAAAGTCAGACACTTGAAGATGGTCCACGCTGCGGTCGCCCGGTGGAAAACGTTTCTCTGGATGACTTGAAACCGTCATGTGGTTTCCCCTGTTGATTTGACGCAGCTCTTAAATGACGCCGGTCACAATGATCTAATCTTGATGACCGTCGTCTTCTGTTTCCTTCAGTGGAGTGTGACTGGAAAGAGAACATGACTTGCGACAGTGGTAATGAGCCGGTTTCAAACCTACGACGTTGCAAGAACTTGGCATGTGCCTTAGCCCGCTGAGCTACCAGGGCACCACAGGAAATGAGATTTTAATGAAACATTTTTTTAAGTTGCCTCAGATCTTTATTTCTGTTTTTTAATTTTTTATTTCCTCCCTCGTTGCTTCCTGATTTGAATGTTCGGTAAACTTTAAACGACAGGAAACAATTCCAGCTGACTGTGCTCAGCAACAACACGCGTGTGGAAACCAAATAACTGGAGGCTTAAAAAGAAAAAAAGACAAATCCAGATGCCGTCAGTGTCTCACCTGAGCTTGATGTAAGGTTCTGGGCAGGCCAGTGTAATTCTGTACTGCTGTTGTTTCTCTATGGACTGTACTGTGATACTGCCTTAGGAACCGAACATCATAACATCACATACCGCTCACTGAGGGAGAGAGGGGAGAGAGGGGAGGAAGGGAGGAAGGAAACGTGAGATGTCTTAAATGTAGAGGTCCTTTCTATCGACTGCACATTTCTGTCCTGCAGAGCGAGAAATGAGACAGAACATTTACGTAGATCTTCTGTTTGAATCTTTAAAAATGTTTCATGTCATGATCTTTTTCATTATCTATTAAGATTAGTTTTTAATTAACCTTTAACAAACAATTCAAATCCCAAAGAAATTCAATTTGTAACTCGAGTGGTTCTCATTTGAGCTCATTTCCCAACATTCCCAACTTTAAACCACATTTTAATTCTCTAGATTTCTCTGGATTTTTCTGCTCCAAATTTTCATTTGTTCGTTTCTAGAGAGAAGTTTTTGCGTAATCCTGCTGACAAACAAAAAATTAAAACTTCTCCTCCTCGGCAGAAGTAAAAAATTTAAAACACAGAAAAGCAGCAAATCTCCACAGTTTTTCTTGATAAATGAAAAATAATGAGTCAAAGCTGCTTCATTGTTCATTTTCTTTTTAGACGTCTTGGACTTTACTGGCGGAGGACAAGAGAAATGCAGTCTCATTGAAATCGTCCATGTTGATTTTTGTACTCGTACAGTTCTGTCGTGCCGCTGTAGCACTGGTGGTCATATCAGTAACACTCAGCTTATGTGCACTATCCAATCCTCTGCTTCCTGCTAACGACCAGTCAGCTGTACTATCGGGTCAAAGTGTGTCTACCTGTCGTGTCCGTGTGAGAGTGTGTGTGTGTATATAAATGTCTTATGGTCACAGGGTTTTTGTGTGTGTGTGTGTGTGTGTGTGTGCATCTGAAATGAAAGACGAAATCCCTGAAGAGACGGAGAATGAAGGGTTTAAAAAAAAAAAGAAAAGAATATTAAAACAGTAGCAGAGGAGGGGAGGTGGGGTTTGTGTGAGTCACAGTGTTGCAACACTCTGATGAACCAACAGGACCGTCTCTGCCCTGGACTGATTGAAAGTGGGACGTCCCTTGACGCCTCATGTCTCCTTGTTCTCTTCCTCCCCTTCCACCTGTCAGAACATCCCCCCCCCCCGCAGCGCTAGTTGTCGTGTTGCTATTTTTATCCTCGAGTGTTTGGGTGTTACTTGTGAAACTCGTCCCCAGTTTCGCTCCATCTCTCTGCTCCATCTTGTTCCCGAGCCGGTCCCAACAACCTTCCTCCATCTCCTGTCTCCTGTGTCCTGTCTCCTGTGTCCTGTCTCCTGTCTCCTGTCCTGAACTCTTGCTCCATCCTAACCGCTGCTCTCCGCTTCACCTCATCTGTTCAACATCTGGACCGAGTCGCACCAGCTCGTTCTGAGTAACCAGTGGTTTAAAAAATGAGACTCCTGAGACTCCGGAGCTTTGAACCGTGAGTCCTGAGGTGAACTGGTGCTTCTAGGTTCTTCAAGCTGGTGAAGTAAAGGGGAGGGATTGTACGTTTCAGTCTAACTTATTCTTTAAGAGGAATATTGGTTTGAGAAGCTTGAAGATTTCTGTTATTTGGCTGAACTGTGGTCGATGTTAAACATTTTAACTCTCCAGCTTCAAGTTTTCACTCAAGAAAGTTAAAAGGATTTTTCTCTTTGCCCCTGGTTTGTAACTGACATGGTAACAAGTGACGCAGACTTCCCATGGGGCTTTGCTTTGACACTCATCGCTGTTCACGCTCCCACCCGTCCTCATTGTCCCTCCTCCTTGTAACTGTTTAACGATAAAAACTGCAGCCGCCCAACTGCCCGTCTCCGACTGTGGTCCTCTCCTCTCCTCTCCTCTCCTCTCCTCCGACGGTTTCATCTCCACCATCTTGTTTTTGTGTTCTCGGTGGCCAAAACAAAAACGAGGAAATGTAATAATCATTGTTTGGTAACTGTTTTTAGTGCTATGTTTTTGGAGCGTTACGAGTATTTTCTAACATGTTACAATAAAAGATTGTAGTGTACAAATTCACGTTTATAAAATATATATATAGATATATATGAGAAATGTATGTTCTAATGCAATAAAGAGAGATTAAGAACTATGAAGATCTTTAATTTCACTTATTTGAGTCTTGACTTGTTCCCGTCTGCTCTGGTTCAGTCAGTCACTGTTTGAAACTTTAAACTGAAAGAAAATTAATGAATTCTCTGCCAGTAGCTTCTCGTCCTTCTTTATATAAAGTGTTATACTCAAGTCACCCATTGGTTTGTGAGCTGCCGTATTGTCCAGTGGCCTCTACTGGTTCTTCTGTTCATAACATTTAAGTCAAAGCAAATGAATCAATTGAAACCTAAATCCACAAAAGCAAGAAGAACTGGAGGTGAGATGTAAAACTGAAAGTTTTCAGAATGCTCTGCGAGTTTTTCCGTGCTGCGGTTGCATGATGAGAAATCTTTTTTTAAACTAAGGCTGCATTTCTTGTTTGTCTAAAATATTATATCAGACGGATCCCAAAAGAAATGTGGGCCTTTTCACCACAGGTGGGGCGCTCAGTAGGGATCTGGACCTGAACCTGAGGCGGCCCATGAGGTAAATGTGGTTTACTTGTGGCAAATGGGAGCGGACCACCTCCTCCATCGTTCCAGGAGGTTTGTTCCCTGGATGATATTCTGAGACATATTTTCAGTTTTGTCTCTTGTCTCCCTGTGGTTCATTGTGATTTATTGTTTTAAACACTTGAGGATTTGTCCCTGACACCTGCTAACATCTCCTGGGAGTTCATAGAAGACACATTCACCACCTTGTTCTTTATTCTGAAAGGATTGAATCTTGTGTTGTACATTTAGTTTCTTGCACTTCTGAGACTCCGTACTTTTCTAACAAGTACCTGTGAATAAAGTAGTGGAGTGTGTGTCAGCATCACATGTAAATACTAATGTAAAGTACTAGTACTCGAGTGGAATACTTGAGTAGAATACTCAAGAGAGTTGCTGGTGTAAGTTTGTGTTAGTTTGGCCTCACTCGTCTTCCGTACTCAGCTGCTGTTTGTTGACATGTCTGTGACTCGTCTGTGTCTGTGACTCTGGTCTGTGACTCCCTCAGCGTCACGATGACAGAAAGCTGCTCCACCAAACCTCGGGCTCTTGTCGCAGCTTCGCAGGAACTGAAGCAGCAGCTCGGGATGAAGGTTGTTTCCTAACGAGGGAGCAGGAAGCTGCTGTTAGCCTGTGCGGCTACAGCCCGGAGCTAGCTAGCTAACAGGCTACGTTGGCCGATGGTAAACGATGGAGGGGATCCTGCACAAGTGGACGAACTATATGACCGGTGAGTCCGCGGGGTTCCACTGCGTCTGCTCAGTGGTGTGGTGACATGTGAGGATTTAACGACGGGGGACGGGGGTTTGTGTCAGTTAGCTAACTGCTAGCACGCTAAGCTAGCAGTTAGCTAATAACTTAGCTTTAGCACCACAGTTAATAACGTCGTTAGGACGTCACTGGTCCTGAAGCTGCGTCACAGATCTTATGTCATAGTATTTTAAATTCAGACACTTTATTCTCATCATTAGCTTTAGCATCAGTTAGCAACAGACTCACAGCAATTCAAAACAAGAGGTTATTTAACCCACAAATATCATTTAATACCCACTAGTACTACTAGTACTACTAGTACTACTACTACTACTACTACTTACTAATACTACTACTACCACTACTACTGCCACTACTAGTACTACTACTACTACCACTACTAGTACTACTACTTACTACCACTCCTAGTACTACTACTACTACTACTACCACTACTAGTACTACTACTACTACTCATGGAAACACACATGTAGAAACACACATGTAGAAACACACATGTAGAAACATACATGTAGAAATACACATGTAGAAACACATGTAGAAACATACATGTAGAAACACACATGTAGAAACACACATGTAGAAACA